AGTTTAAAGGATATTTTCAATGTTTATATAGTCCGTTTGACTTCTATATACTTGTAGAAAAAAGTTTAAAAAAATCCATTTTGTCAAATACATGGTTTGACTCCATCATGTCTTTATGCTTGATAATAACTTAAAAATGCATATGAATTGAACTTGTGGCATATACTTTAATCATGGTCTATATGTAAAATGTATTGACCATATACCAATATGCATACTTTTTATATGGCCGTATACATGATCTCTTTTAACTGTAAATACTTTTTGCCAAATACATGATACAACTATACATGGTTCAAAAGTTCTGCATATGTACATGTATGTACAAGTATGATTTGTGCCAAAAAGATGGTTTGACTCTAAATACTAGGCTGATAAATATTTAAATAACCATATGAACTAAACTTGTGAAAAATACCAAATACATAGTCTTAATAAACCTTTAAGTGCATTTTAAATTAATAGTAGGATATATGTTTGTAATAAAATTAAGAATGGAAACGGGGAATATATCAAAGAGACAACAACCCGACCAAAGAGCAGATACATGTTAATCATGCATGTCATGCTTGCTGTATATTTGTTTTGCAATTTTGTTTATATGCATTATTATTATTATAATTTTTGTTTACATATATATATTTTTTGTTTATTTATCTACTTTTTTATACGATATGTATTCATGAAAACTGAATAATTGTGTCGTTTTCTATTTTTGTAGGTCCTATATACAATGTGTCTCAAACAGAAAATACTTTTGATCAATTATATATACATGCATGACATGGTAAATTTCTAAATTTTCTTGACCAAATACATGATCTATTTTTAAATGTAAATACTATTTACCAAATACATGGTGTAAATGTATCTATGCTTATTCTTTAAGGATACATGCATGTACAAGTATGATCTGTGTCAATTACACTAGTTATTTTTTGAGCCCTTTATAGCTTGCTGTTTGGTGTGAGCCAAGGCTCCGTGTTGAAGACCGAAATTTGACCTATAATGGTTTAATTTTATAAATTTTGACTTGAATGGAGAGTTGTCTCATTGACACTTATATCACATCTACTTATATCTATATATGAATTAAACTTGTTATAGGCCAAATACATGTCGTTAATTTATATTTTTTAACATTTATTTATAATGTAAACTGAAAAATTGTGTCTCTATTTTTGTGACCAAATACACGTAACTGAAGAATATGTCACTTGCACTTGTGTCTATTATACACGTGTTTATTTATTTTAAGTATATACATGATATGAATGATGAAATATAAGACACAATTTGCAAACTGCATTAATATCGTCATTACATGTATCATTTCTGGTCGTGCAAACGTTTGGCAAAATAACCTCAACTTGTATATTAGTTGAAACAAAGTGATTTTACTCTACATTTTAAAATCTATAACATACATTTACATGTACAAAAAATGTACATGTACAATGTACAGTATGGCAAGCCTACGATTTTTATAATACATTTGTATTTTTAATTTTCAATGCTATCAAGTGTATCTCTTCTGCTGCAGAGATTGGCAACAAACTGTTCATAAGTCTTACATGTTTTCAAAACAAATGTTTATCGTCATCCTCTCTTCTGTAAACCCAACCCAGATCCTTGTCTTGGATAATATCAATTATTAAACACAAGATTACCATTAATTATACTATTTATCTAATTAAATGATACATAACAGTGCTACACGTTGGTAAAAGTGTGAGTTGTCGTGTACCCATACAAACAACAGCATTTACAACCATATGATTCCTTTAAAAAACTCACATCAAATCAACACTCAATCATGATAATGTATCTAGTTTTAAGCTTGCATCACACAAGTCTTTTCACCCCAGGTACATATCCAGGATTTTGAAAAAAGAGGGATGAGGTCCACTAGCAAGCCGCCGTTTGGATTGTTACTTGTTCAAAAGCCTATTCATTTGTCATATATGTAGCTCCATCAGAGGTTGAGAATCCTTGTTTTCCTTGAACCGCCTTTGCCTCATATGCAAAATTATCACCGAGAGCTAAAACAGTATAATGTGGGTATTTAATCTCGTGCTGCATTGTTTTGCAATTTTTCCACTGTGCCTCCACCCATGCCATTACAACTCACACTATATATAATCCGGGTTGTAACATAATGTCGTTTGTTGAAGCTCAATTGAGATAGGAAATCAAACTGTGTCCTAGTTTCGAAACCATAAGTACATGAAGACATGTAAAATGTCAAAATGTAGTACTATGAGAGTGAACAATAGAAACAACTTCCGATTAAGCTTGTATAAATTCCGACATACGACAGTTTCTGCGATGTTATGAATTATAGTTAAAACACAAAAATTATTTAAAGAAAGCGTAAATAATAATAATCGTAAACGCTTTTGTTGCGGAATACACTGCTTCATAATGTTCCTATAATGTTTGAGATATATTTTATATATTCGAAGTCAATATTCGTGTACATATGTATCCAAGATGGCGAAAGAGCTCCTACACATCATCAATATTTCATCAGTTCAAACGAATTATGCACGAACGAATGCATGAATGGCTGCATGAATAAAAATAATGTAGAGTCTTCCTAAAAAATATCCAATCATTTGAACCGTGTAAATGTCAAAGTAACGAATAAAAATTAATAAAATCCCAAATAAATATCTTGTTTACAAAATATCGATCTGTAGATCAGCAAGAATGTGTAATAAGATACATTGTGTAAAAATATACTGACCAATGGTCATCCAGCCAAAAGATCGTAATGCAGGGGTTCCCCAAAGGTGATAGGAAAATGTAAATTTCCAAACAAATTAATGGTTTCCTTCGTCTGAATAAAAATAGTTATTAAAATAACTTGTCTATAACTATGTTAATTTAAACAGGATTTTTTTTGCAATTACACGGCGTCCTGGTCAGTGTTTGTTTATTTCAGTTAAACATTTCTTACAAAATATTGGCAACAAAAAAAAACTAATTCTTTTTGTCATTTTACTAATGTAAAGTTTCCATGTACGTCCTGCGGAAAACTATGGATTGTGGTTATGGCAACCATTTCCTTTGGAACAGAGGACACAATAAACCGTTATTAACTTCAATTATCAAACAAGCATTCTCAATATATATTATGAAATTCTACGTTTTTCACTCGGTGTCTTCGATGTTTCGAGTTCTTGTTTCGTGTGGCTGATCTGTCAAAAGTTCTTTCCAAAACATCATACACTCACTTTGTGTATGTTGTTTTTGCCAATATGACATTAAAGTTGAAACAAAATCGATATTATACTGTTCATTTTGAAACAAGAAAGGTGAGGCAATTTGAGTTTAAGTGAGGTAAAAGAGAGGTGAAGGATACCAAAGGGACATTCAAAGTCATAAATCGATATCAAACTGACAACGCCATTGCTAAAAAAGAAAAAAGACAAACAGACAAACAACAGTACACAAAACAACATAGAAAACCAAAGACTGAGCAACACGAACCCCACCAAAAACTGGGGGTGATCATAGGGGCTCCGGAAGGGTAAGCAGATCCTGCTCCACATGTGACACCTTCATGTTACTCCTATAAAATACGTTGATAAGTTAGATAAATGTTTAGACATCACGCAATAGTAAATTGATAATTGACTCTTATCTAACCCTAAGACATTACCAAATTCTAGACAATCGGTCATGTAAAATTTGCTAACCCTGACACTTGACCGAATGTGAAATTTTAAATTTGAAACAGGTTTTTCATGACAAAGGATGTAAGGTGAGGCATTACAGTTAAACCTACTGACACAAAATAAAGAGATGCTACATAAAGCATGACTAAAATGGTATATAGAAATAAGATAATGTGGTATGATTGCTAATGAGACAAATCTCCGTCCAAGTCACAATGTATAAAAAGTATGTTTGTTTTTTACGTAATCGGCCGATAAAATAAGTTTTACTTCAAATTTCTGGGATAGAAGAATTTTATTAATCGTAAATGCATGCTTATTTATTGTATTGACCAAGTCTTTTTACGTAAGTTTTGCATTGAAAGAAATTTCAAGTCAACAAAAACTGACAACAATGTGGCAAAATATTTAATCGTATAACGAATACATCTCGTTAGAGTAATGTTTTCAATTGAAAAGTTTTTCGTTCTCATTTACTTAGTCATTTACACATGTATTAAATAATAGCCACAAAAATTCAGAACGGTGAATATTTGCTGCATTTGTCACCTTTAGAACGAAATTACTATTTGACATATTTTAATGATATGCAAGATAAGGATGAATATGATGATGTTTACCGGGCAATCCCGTCTTTAATCTTACTCCTAAATACTGCAGTTTAAAAACAGCATATACCAATCATCGTGGTTTTGGTTTGAACAGACCGGGTATCGATCCAACAACCTCCCAAACTCGCCACCAGTTGCATGATAATGAATTAAAAAACTACTGATATACACAATTTATCAATTTAGTCTCTAATTTCGAATATAAGGCTGACTTCACACAGAAATATTTTAGGAAGAAATGAATGAAGCTAGCATTATCCTTAAACTTCACGTTCCGCTATAAAACATAATAAAAAATAATGTCCTCTCACTAAATAATTCTAAGTTTGGTCACTATTTCGAACGCATCTATCCCTTCGAACTTGAAATAAAGGATACGATACAACAGATACAGTTAAGTCTGTCTGATATCTTGAATAACATCTACAAATTCACAATGAGGGTCGGTTATCTATTCGTTTGATGTGTTTAAGCTTTTGATTTTGCCATTTGATAAGGGAGCAACATTCCAGCAGCACCTTCATATGGAGTAAATATATCCCATCTGATACGATATTCCAGAGCTTGCATTTCCTTGATACATGTAGACGGTTGCTGCTTTGCTTAGAATGAAGCTAATAAACCAAGAGTTTGAAGAGGTGAAGTTGAATTCATCCCGTCAAACATTTTTTGGAAGTCATCACGAATTAGTTGGCCGTTATGGACTATCTGTTTCACAGATGACAACGGATATGTTCCAATCAACGTAACCACCATCACGTCCTCTTTTCCTAGAATGGAACCTACAAAATAGACTTATCATCCTTTTTTTCTAATTTACATTAGCAACACGACAGATGCCAAATGTGGAGCAAGATTGCCTACCTACAGGTTTTTGATGGGGTTCGTGATGCTCAGTCTTAGGATTTCTATGTTGCATTTTCTATGTCTTTTGATCGTCTTTCGTTTTTTGCCATGGCATATATTGTGAGTTGTTTTCCACTAATGATATGAGTTTGAATGTCCCTTTTATATCTTTAGCCTCTCTTATATAATACATTATTATGTACATTGCCTTTGAATGCAACATATGTTAATTTTAAACATTTAGGTAAATTATTGACCTGAAAAACTTCCAATAAGGATTTTTAAAACGGCTTTTCGGTTCACTTCTGCCACGATGTTGGTCATCCTTTTATGTATCCGTTTTTTATGTGTACCTATTTAGTTAGTTTTTTTTTTGGCTTGTTTGTTTGTCAGTTATTAGCAGTGCGTGCGAAATATTTTTCCTATAAATATTATGTCCTGTAAAAATTCATAAAATATACCGGGATATCATTTAGTACACGCGTTTCGTATACATTTGACTCACCAGAGGTACTCGATTAGAAACAGTCGATTATCCAAATTGTAGTTTTTAATGAACATATGACGCGTGATCTTTCTTTAACAAGCAATCCCGTTCAAACCAGAGATATAGGCTATCTTTATCTTGCATTTAGATGTGAATATAATGTTTAACGGACCTGATACAATGAGCAATAATGTTTTTTTTTCTTGTGTTGTGTCAGGTACATGTACGGACCAGTATCTTGAGTTGGTGACCTTCTTTATAGTATGTTATATGATTAAATAGTGTTTACTTTTTATATTGTTTTGTCATCCTTAATACCGGTATTATGAAGTTGGGAGTTAAAGAATCTTCTCAAAACAAACAAATAAGAGACACCAAGTTGGAAATAAATAAAAAAATGTCGAATAACAGCATGGCTAAAAATAATCGAAACATTATACAAGTAAACAGAAAACTGGAAAATGAGAATCATGAAACTCACCAAAAAAAGTGTGAACGTAAGTGTTTCCGAGGAGGGAGCAATTAAGCTCCCATATAAACATATCTATTATCATCCATGGTAAGTACAATGTGGTTATCCTTGGCTAGCGTAGATGTCATAAATGAATGAACGAGAGCAGTGCTGGGATTACGTTTAATATTAATATTCGCGGTCATATGCGGCTGACAAGTTATTCCATATCGGTCAACCAATTTTAATTACGACTTGTTTACCTGAACGTTACGATATACTAGCCTAAGCCGTTTTTGGTACAACTATTGGGCGTTTTGAGTGTCAATGTTCTTCCACTTCGTTTTTGGTTTGGCCTGGTGATCTATAATAATAGGTCTTGATAAATGTTTACATGTTGTTATACAAAAATTACAATTTCTCAAAACATTATATATTAAAGCAGAAATATCATTGAAACGATTGGTTAAATGTTTTAATAAGATAATTTTAAATTTGAATGCATTTCCCATTTCTTATATATATCAACGTATTCAGAATTTCAGACACAACATAAACCAAATCTGTAAATATGACGTTTGTTTACAGGGGAAACATGTTGTTTCCATCGATTAAGAGTTTGTCGAAGTCATGTAGGTTAACAGGTTATAATCTTTATGTTTTTTTCTACAAAGAAGATAATTATTTGTCGCATTTGATAGCAAATTTAAACAAAACTGTGCACAAGAAGTCTCAAATAGAACTTTAACGTATAAAATGTTCATGTACTGATTAAGTATGCTTATATCCAATGCAAACACTAGACTTAAGGAATAACAATACTGTAGTTGAAGAATAACTGCTATAAATTTATTTGGGATTTACGATTGCAAAACCAGTTTAACTGTCAAAACGTCGGACCAATGACCCATCCCTAATTGACGGCGGAAAATCTTCTACTACTGTGATGTTTTTCTGTTATAAAACCTTACAAAATGAATAAGTACATTTCAACTTATTAATAGTAATAAATCTAATAGACAATAGAATTTCACGAAACGTCATGAACAAGTATGGCGTATAAACGCATGGGAAATCATAACTTCATAAAAAATGAAAGGTTATTCCGTTACTTAGTAATGTTTTTTTTATTATGTTGTATTAATCGATCAAAAGTTGCTTCCAACAATTCTGTTGACTTTTTATTGGTAAGGCTAACTTAATTTTTTACGTATTTATCGATTGTGTGCTTTTTCGAAGAAGAAAATCAACCATTGACAACTTCACATAATTTTCAAGTAGCAAACTTCAAATGCGGTACAATCGCTGTATTAAAAGAGAGGCGAGAGATACCAAATGGACATTTAAACTCATGTTGAAAACAAACTGACAACATCATGGCGAAAACGAAAAATACCAACAGACAAACAATATATACACAAAACACAACATAGAAAACTATTGGGTCGATCCTATTGCTGTTGGTCGTTGTTTTAAGTGTTGAACAAGTTGTCAGCAAAATGGAACGTTTGACGACAAATAAAATAGCGGAGGATAGTATTGGGACACTCAAAAGTCGTAGAGAAACTGTCAACGCTATGACAAAAAAAAAATAAGGACAAAAAGACGAACAAGTCTACAAAACAATATATAAAAAAACTAAAGACTGGCAACACGAACCTCACCACGAACCATGGAAGGGTTAGAAGATCAAACATGTTTGTAATTTTCAGTCAGTAGTGATACAATATTGACTTAGTGATATGTCGTAATAGCTGTATGTCATCTAAAGATAAACTCATCATATATACCAGGATTAAAACTGCGTATGCCAGACGCGCGTGATTCATCAGTGCCGACATGAAGAAATCGCTGAAGCAGAAACTATATTTGATGTTTATTTTAAATATTTCATGGTCAACTGATTCAATACATATTATGTAATTATCGACGGTTAAGGAGGTAAATGAAGAGTTTCTGTTGAGTGAAATCGTTGTTACAATATTTGTCATAAACGCATCGTATTATTCCTAGAATTGAAGCTCATGTCATTCAAGTCATCTTAACTCTTTTTTAACCCTTAGCTAACGGAAATAGTGTTCTACATTAATATTTTGGTCCAAATATATTTGATTGTAGGATGAAGTCAGTTTTCCTGTGAATAGTTTATTTTGTTTTTAGTCTAATATTGTTTCATTTTGATGCGTTGTTCTATAAATCTTGTGTAAGATTTGTTTTATTCTTACATATCAGTCTTTGTAGCAATGTACATGTAATTACGCAATAAAAATATATTCAAAGAGTCAAATAGGCTCTTTCTGCAACAATGTTTTTTCCCGTATGAACTCAATTAACTACAATAAAAATTGTCGATGCTAACTTGTAAGTTAAGATGTAACAAGAAATGTCAGTTACTGCTTATAAACACAGATTACATCTCGCTGATTAACATAAGTGTCTCAATCAAGACTATTTTTATGAATATTGTGAAAAACTAATAAAATATACCAGGCTTTTAAGTTATAACATCAGTGGCACTCGTAGCAAAACAATTTAAAGTTCAAATCAATTTGAAGAAAACAGCATTGGAAACAATTAATTCCATCTACATTCCAAATCTGACCTCAGCTAATTTAACGGTTTAATGAACATTTTATTTAAAGGAAATGCCCACATACATAACATGTCATGGCAGTACAGGAGCGCTAACCACTTGGATGGTAGTACCTTTGGTACGAAACAACAATAGGATCGACCCAGTAGTTAAAAATCTTATAAAAGATTCCGTTATGGATAATGCATATTTTAAGGTTTTTCTTGTCGTAGAACACACCGAGGGCTGTCAGGATTGATCAAATGAAAGACCGACCGTATGGAGGTCTTTCTTTGGGCAATCCTGATACCCTAGGTGTGTTCTACGACAAGGAAAACCTTAAAATATGCATTATCTGACTTATATACCGTCAAAAAAATATTGTTTTTTATAAAGATTTGCAAAATTAAGCATCCTATTTTTCCGACCACACTAAAGTGGGATATTCCTTTCTAATGCGTTCAGGTTTTAATACGTACGCCCTACGGCTCATTTAGAATGGGAAATAAACTCACTAATTAATCTAAATATAAACCTTAGAAATTATTATCCATACACAATAAAAATATTACTGTAACTGTATGAAGTAAGACACAAATGAATGGTTACCATCTGATAATGGTGTATGAAAAATACAAGTCACGTTGTTAGTAATTTATTGTACCAAATTAAGTTCATGGAAAGGGGGAGGTGCTATGTTTTTTTTGTCTATTTGTAATGACATTTTATCGCGGAAAAGTGATTATTTTTTCAACAATTTTAATTGAATCGAATGAAATATTCAGAATTATTTTCTTTTGAATAGCAATACATTTTTTTAACAGATAATCAGGATATAATTATATACCCTCCCCCCATCCGACCTCATTGTGAGATACGTGAATGTTATTCAATAGAATATAAGAATATTTTATTAGTTAATCATTTGATAGAGTAAAAGGTATACATAAATGTAAAAAAGTTAAGAACTGACACGAAGGGGGCACGAAATCGTGATACATGTACATGTTACACGAAAACGAATATCAATACATGAAGGTCACAGTATGATTTCCTATTCAGTGTGTATCGTCCTGAAAATGCATGAAATATTTGCCACTGGACGTTAAGTAACCATCAATCAATCAACCTATTCAGTGTAAACCAATAAAATTTTCAAAATCTTACACACGAATATGTTAAATCTGGCTTTATTTTAAAGTATTATGAAAGTTTTACATTAAATTTATCTCGCATATATGAGAATGTCTCTGTATTGTAGCAATAAATAAATAAAACTTCACATTATTTGTTTCTAAAATTAAAATTCGGCAATGACGATTTTTTGTTTACATCTATCATAGATTGAACTTTAAACAATAAATTCCCAAATCGGCAACAGAAACTATCAGACGAATATAATTTTGAAGTAAATTATAGTTTGCATTTTTATCAAGGAAAATAATTACCTCACACAGGTCATTATTTTATGCCTTGGAGCATATTTCATTGAAACATGGTATCGTCCGGGTTGATTCTTCGAAAGAATGACCTATCGTTCTGAAAGAAAATCACTCCATATAGGTATATAAAGGCTTTTAATTTGTAAATGAAGAATGATATATAACATGTATAATGAGCTTACTGAATGATTATGGTTAACATATGTTTCATTTGAAATATGGTTGTCTTTTGGTTTATGTTGTTAGGGTGAGGTCCAATTACACAAATCTCACATTTCTATGTTGTCATACATTACAAATAACGTATAGAATTATGTAAAATTAGTTTACTTGTTGAACATGCTTTCTCATAGATTCCAGTGAACCATACATATATCCGGACATATAAATATTTATCTGATGATAACCTTCGGCGGCTACTTTCATAAACAAATCCCCAAAATGGGCAATATTCTAAGCGGTTTATGTTGAGTTATTTTCACCCTCTTCAATCACGAGTATTTGGGTCACCGTTTTGTCATTCATTATCACTTGCATTAAAATTGAACTACCATCTCACTTCAGATCCCATTATTTTAATTGTAAACAGACGAAGTGTTGATTTAATGACTTCAACTGTCTCAAATAACTACATTCAGGTAGTTCAGGGGTATAGAAAAAAAATGACAGAATTTTCTCATACTTTGTGAACTTAAGCTTAGTTGCATGGTTATTAAAACAACACCATAAAATTTCGGGGTCACCGGCCATCCATGAGATTTTTTTACCTCTGAAATTGGGTGCAAATAGGCTAATTTCTCAATGGATATATAGGGAAAATTGACATAAAACTTCTTTGATTGAATATTCACAGCAACAAAAATGACAGAAGTTGTTAATTTTTTCATACTGAAAAGCTTGATGTCTCTATTTTGTAAAATTGAAATAAAATTTAGGGGTCACTGGCAATATAAGAGAATTAACCTACTGTTTATATCTGGTTTTCCATGTAAACGGACTAAAAGTAACAATTTATTTTTATGGATGGATTATTTTGATATCAATATATCTTTTAGAGCTTTAATAGAAAATCAAAAAAATTGGAAGAGTAAATAAATACTTTTGCATATGCAAAGGTTGATTTTAGGGGTTTCCCATTGTAAATAAAATTGAGAATGGAAATGAGGAATATGTCAAAGAGACAACAACCCGACAAAAGAGCAGACAACAGCAGAAGGCCACCAATGGGTCTTCAATGCAGCGTGAAAATCCCGCACCCGGAGGTGGTCCTCAGCTGGCCCCTAAATAAAATTGTGTGCTAGTTCAGTGAAAATGGACGCCACACTAAACTCCAAAATATATAAATGAATTAAAATTAAAAAAACATACAAGACCAACAAATGCCAGAGGCTCCTGACTTGGGACAGGCGCAAAAATGCAGCGGGGTTAAACATGTTTTTAGAGATATCAACCCTCCCCTTATACCTCTAGTCAATGTAGAAAAAAGAAACATATAGCAATACGCACAGTAAAACTCAGTTTAAAAGAATAGGTAACAAAAGAAACTAAGCAAAATGACAATGATACATAAATGAACAAAGGACTACTAGCAGTTACTGACATGCCAGCTCCAAACCTCAATTTAACTAATTGAAAGATTATGTCTTCATCATATGAAAATCAAGTACAATCCCTCCCGTTAGGGTTTTAGTGTCATACCATCATAAAATATACGAGAAGAACATAACCCGTATCATGCCAACATCTGGTTTTAAAATAAATGTGTTTATTTCCGATGCAAAGACCCTATGAGTGAATCAACATTAATACCACAATATGCAATCCATGGAATATGGCCATACCTCCATATAAAATCCATGAGCATTTATATCTTGCAGTTCAAATTTTGAATTTTGTTTTTAAACTTTGCAGTATTATTAAGTATTATGTGTAGATATGAAATTATCTTAATTTTATTTAACCAAACTGAATTTGGTGTAAATAGGCTAATATAGCTGTATATGTTTGCATTATACATAAGTCTCTTTCCGAGAGGAGCACCACCATAAGATATTGCGTAAAGGTGACATGGCGTTTTGAGTTTATTTTAGACTTATTAGTTTGAATGTCCCTTTGGTATCTTTACCTTTTTTTATAGAACACCATATAGATTCAGATAAATGTGAGCATTTGCCCTCCCAGTTTTCAATCTATGCCGTGGCGGTTCTTACTATAAAAAAATACACCTGCCATCACTGCCACACATAATTAGCACAGTAAAAGCCCCCTTTTTTCCACTCCATCAGATTATCCAGGCTCATGTTTGTTACGACAGAAAAATCGACTGTTAATTGTAGCCAACAAAAGACACAAAATCAATAATAAAATTTAACGAGATTTATTATACACAAGTTTACAAGAAGTATTACACAAATAGTCAACTTAACTGTCAAAATATGAATCCAATCTTTTATCTTTTCTTTATCCGGAAATCTTCTTGGGAATCCACACAGAATATTACGTCCAATAGGTCACAATCTAGTATGATGTGGTGTGTAAATAAAAAGTGTCAATCCAACTGCTGAGAATGTTGATGTCTATCGATGTGTAAGTCTCTATCCATGTCTGTGTCTAACGTAAGGGTCTGAATTTATATATGCTTGTAAAAGAAACTTTTAGATAACTGGAAATGTTTGAATTACGCATCTTTTGTTATGATCATTCTGGAAACGTTATGTAAGTAAAATAGAAAGTTCTAAGCATTCCATGAGTATCTATGATTGTTCCAGTGATCTATAAACTGCATAGTTGTAACACAATGTGTATTATTTTGTACACAATATAATGTAAACATTCTTAGGCCACACAAAACAAATTAGACCAACTAAATAAATATGACAGTTACAATATCCTAACACTTCCCCCCCTTAAAAATAGTTTGAGTGCAACAAAAACTTTTCATGAATAATATGTACAAAAATACATAGTATATATACAAAGTGTTTTAATAAGTTCCAGATCTGCTATTACATTATCTTTACCTTTAATATGTTTTACAATAACATCATATTCCTGTAACAATAAACTCCATCTAGTCAACCTCTGGTTCTTGTTTCTCATTTTATGTATGAAGGTGAGAGGATGATGATCAGTGTCACGGATAGACGAGAGCTGACTTAGGAGTTTGTACTTACAGATAATAAATGACTACTACTTTAAACAAAATAACAATTTAATTAGGTACAAATTTACAAATATAAATAGATGAAATCAAATGAAATAATACTGTCAAATGTTTAATGAACTGTTCCTTCTTCTTTATATTAAACTATGAAATCTGGATAAACGATACTACGGAATTTTACGTATTTGGTTTTCGGTAACTACACAAAACTGGCCCAACATAAGCGGTGTACACATTACGGCTGCCCTATTGTCTAGACTCGACTCCAAATATTCTATGTTGCCAAACTATTGATGATAAACACGGAACGCCGCACTGTCAACAGGTTTCACCACCATCTGTACTATATCTCCATACTTTACTATACAAAACTACATACACCTAGCCCGCAAACTGGGACCTATTGAAATACATACTGTACGTTAAGATACAATACTATACTTAAGAAATATACATATGTTTATGTATTACACATGTCGCATAAATAATGACAAATACTTAGTACGACTACTTATGTTCAATCTATAGACGATTATAGCATATTGAATAATGCATTACTTATACACAAATAATTACGGCATATCGTATAATGCCTTACTTTACACAATACAAACTACGGCATATCGTACAATGCCTTACTTTACAAGTCACATAATTGACTTTATTGTATACTATCATTATACAATTACTACACACAATATACAGCTTTTAACGCTGAATATACATTTATGCTTATACGTTGCATATTACTTTACATACTTATGGAGATACATACATCATTGCATTATCGTACGCAAACGTTCCTAAAATACCAAACAATTTCGATACTCGAATATTTACTACAGCCGGAAACATATACCCGTGTTAAACTTTCATTATAATGAACATTAATTAACTTATTACATTTATAAAATAGCAATGTCAAAAATTACAATTACAATTGAAATAATTATTCTATATTTGCGTTGTTGCAGAAAACTGAACACTTTAGAACGAATAATGATTAAATAAATAAGAATAAATTGAATCCTACCTCAGAAATCCAGTGTGTGTGTCCACGCCACATTGTAAACTAACTTTATACAAACATTCCTGACCACACCTTGACTCGTTAAGGTGTTACCTGAGAGTGAATAGTCAGCTCATCAAATACAGGTATCACTGTTACTCAACCCGTTCGACAAGTTTACAGGTAAATGCCCAAGTAAATAGTGGACACTACTTAATTAATTAGATGTAAAATGTGGACATGTATTATACACCGAAGTCTGCAGAATATAGCATTTATAAGATACTGACGTTCTGCAAATCGAAATAGAATTAACAACCAAAATAACAACATATATGTGAGTAAACAAAGTCACCCTGTGACAATCAGTATAAACAAGAATTGGATGCACAGTAGGATATAAATATGCATCAAAATGTTGAAGTGCAGACAACATTGCAAAACACTCTTTTTCTATAGTCGAATACTTTTCTGATGTTTATCTAGTTTCTTTGAAAAATATGATATACGTTTCTCAACATTATCATCTGTCTCTTGATATACAACAGCTCTGATTCTTACATCGTTTGAATAAACGGCAAGTTGAAATTGTTTTTTTAAAGTCTCTCGTGACCAGAACTGGACGATTAATTAAAAGTGATTTGCTATTTTAAAAAGCGTTTTGACAATTTTCACTCCAGATAAATTTAGAATCTTTCCTTAAAGATGAGTCAATGGTTGAACAACAGTAGCAAAATTTGAACAGAATTTCCTGTAAAATCCAATCATGCCTAAATATCTCATAAGTTGTTTTTTATTTGTAGGAGGAGGAAATTTAGTAATTACATCCACTTTAGCCGTAATAGGTTTCAACTGACCTTGGCCAACTGTATGCCCTAAATAATCAACAGTGGACTGATAAAATTCACTTTTACCAGGATTAACAGTCAAATTTGACTGTGAAAATCTATCAAAAGTATCATATAAATGTGTTAAATGCTGTTCCCAGCTATCACTACATACAATGAGATCATCAATATAAGCATAACAACAGTCTAAATCTTTTAAAACATTATTGATCATTCTTTGAAATGTAGCTGGAGCACTTTTCATGCCAAACTGCATTACAGTATATTGAAATAAGCCATCTGGTGTGACAAAAGCTGATATTTCACGAGCTCTCTGTGTCAATGGAACTTGCCAGTAACCTTTCAACAAATCAAATTTGCTCACAAATTTTGCTTGACCAATGTTGTCAATACAATCGTCTATCCTTAGAATCGGATAGGAATCAGATTTTGAAACTGAATTTACTTATCTGACATCAGTCACGAAACAAAAGGTTTTGTCTGGTTTGGGCACAAGGAGACAGGGAGAGATCCGTTCACTGTTACTCGGCTCAACAATATCATTGTCAAGCATATATTTAATTTCTTGTCTCACAAATTCAAGTTTGAGTGAATTGAGCCGGTAAGGATGTTGCTTAATTGGAGAAGCATCGCCTACATCAACATCATGACAAACAGCAGTGGTTTTGTTTTGCACATCTGGAAAAAGTTTTTAAAAAAAAAGTACCAAAGCTTTAGTTTTTTCTCTACGATCAAAAGACAGATGTGCAAGTTTTGAATCAAAATTTGACAAAATTTCTGAATGTTTCAATCAACTGTCTCTTCTATAGTTTTAGAACTAAAGGTGGTTCAATTATATCTGGTTTATCATGATTGTTCTCCAATTTAAGCATGGCTAAAGTGGCAACTGGTTTACTATCACATTCGAAAATGGTTTTAAATTATTAAGTCAGGGATTTCGTTACCATAAATTATTTACAACTTTTATTTAATTCTTTCATAGATACAAAGATTTGATTAGTAAATTTGGCTGTACCTGTAGAAAACTTATCAAAAATGGTATTTTACATCCTAAATTTTATGGTAATATTGTACTTAAAGCGCGGAAATCATTATGTGATCCGTGTAAACTCATCGAACCTTTAAACAAACTTATTAGTAAGGGTTATCGTACCAATGTTGTAATTAGATCTCTGAATATAGTTTACATTGGCACTAATATCGATTTTGTCATAAGCAAATTAAAACATAACTAAATTTGTATTTTCTTTTCAAACGGGATGTGTAGAGACACACACACGTTCATTTTTATCTATAAAGAAGTCACTCCTACCGATTTTGTCATTAGCAAATTAAAACATAACTAAATTTGTATTTAATTTCAAACGGGATGTATAGAGAAACACACACGTTCATTTTTATCTATAAAGAAGTCACTCCTAACTATCCTACTACCTGTCGATACATTTATTTTTGGCATTGCACAAGTCATGTCTTCTTTGACTGTTCATGACGTTAAAATATTAAATCCCTGGGATGTATTTTAGTTGATTTTAGTCTCTGATGCATGATTTTTTATTATTAATTGTTTTGGCTTTTAACTAGCTGTCAGTAACTGCGAGTACTCTCAAATCGTACTTTCTTTTAATTTGACCTGTTGATACTATTTGTAATGCTTTTTTGTTATTTAATGTTAACATGGATCTTGTCTATATACCAGCTTTGATTATTTGGTATTTAATTACTACAAATTTTCTCTTCTCCGTACTTTGAACATCAAAATTATTTCATTTTTCCTAAGATGCTGTTCTTGGACCTGTACAGGAAGTTTTATCTAGCACTAATTGTATATTTTTATTGTTGATATTCACCCCATATGTACTAAGTGTTAGATTAGTTTTATTGATATTAAAGAAATTTCTTGGTATTCCTAAACGGAAGATTTTATACACACAGAAGAAGAAGTATACTTGACAACAAAATTATTTTCATTTACCTGTGTATAATACATGTATGACGCAGGTTTCTTCAAAAGTGATGATTTTCTATAAATTGTTTGAAATTTCACAGTGATATCATACTTTAACTTTGTTTTTAAACCTGTTTATTTATTTGTGACTTTAATTATTTATCCCTTGTAATTTTTTATTAACTGTGTATTTGCATTCAGGTGTCACAGGTCTAATTTATTCGTTCATTGTGTGTTAATTTACGTTTTTTAATTGAGTTAAGCCTTCCAATTGATATTTTATAGTGTGTTTTTCTATGTTGTGATGTTATACTATTGTTTCAGAAAAGGGATAAGGTTTGATACCATTAAAACGTTTAATCCCGCTGCAAATGTTTGCACCTGTCTTAAGTCAGGAATCTGATTACAGTAGTTGTCGTCTGTTTATGTAGTTCATACGTGTTTCTCGTTTTTATATAGATTAGACCGTTGGTTTTTCCGTTTGAATGGTTTTACACTAGTAATTTTTTGGGGCCCTTTATAGCTTGCTGTTCGGTGTGAGCCAATGCTCCGTGTTGAAGGCCGTACCTTGACTTATAATGGTTTACTTTTATAA